GATGAATAAGTAAATAATTTAAATATAAGTTTGAATATATATATTTTAATTTATTTATATTAATTTATTTTTATAATGAATAAAAAATAATTAAAATTTATTAAATATTTTTTTTTATTTTTTATGAATATTATATTATTAAAATTTTTATAAAACATTTATTTAGTAACACTGTATATAGAATAAATATTATAAAATATACAGTTTGTAATTACTCAAATAAACTTTTATATATAATAATTAATAAATTTATGAATTATTAATGCTTATTAAATGAATTATTAAATAAATAATTAAGATATATAATTAAGGAAATTTCTATATAAGTATAGAATGTATATATTTGTATCACGTAATATATAAATTTATATATTACAGATTACATATAATTTTAAATTGTGGTAACAAGACGAATCTTGATCATTAATATTGTCAGCATTAAAAATAAACGTTATTACAAATATAAAAAATATTATATGAGAATCATCAGATGATAATGCGTAATATGATCAACAATTACTACGATAAGCAAATCAGTAAAATAATAAAGATCTATATAATTTACCTGATCAACTAAAATTTCATCTGATTTCTCTGATACCATGAATTTTAATTATACTCATAATAATAGCTAATTGTTTATTCTAAAATGTCTTCATTATGTTTACTTATTTTATTATTTCATATTATTTATCTTATATTTTATTCTTACTTTATTATCTTTTATTATTATTTTTATAGTTAAAATTTACTAAAATAGTTAGTTTATAGCATAGCAAATAGTTAGCTATAGCAAATTCATTTTGTATAAATAGAATAGCTTTTTGTTTAAATTGTAAATTAACTCTTCTGCGAATTTCAAGTTATTAATAAAAGAATCAATTTAAATCTATATAAATTAACTTACTTTTCCTTTAACATTGTCTTTTATTTAGGATTGTTGTAATACACTACACTAACTTGCTATTGAGTTTATCATTACGAGTTCAATTAACATATCTTAAATTCTAAAACGTGATAAATTGCTAAATTGATTTAAGTATAACAGATATTTGTAGACTTAGAGAAAATCCTAAGATCAAAAACCCTAACATATAGAATCAACTGCTGCAGCCTTTCAACTTAGACATTAAGATAACTGAAAACAAACTCAGTGATAATATATAGTAAAATTCCTCTAAATTTATTAATGCTATAACTCTCTTTTTCATACCATTAATAAGATTTTTAGCTAAAAGAACTTATAATTAATTCTATTCTTTTGTTAATTTCGCCTTTAATCTCTTAGATATTTTAATTTTTGTTTGAAATTTTAATTTTCAGAAGTTACTAAACATTTTCTATAGGATTTAGATCAAGAGACATAAATAGCTAAGGTAATACAGTCACTTTATTTTCTTCCTTCTATTTTTTGCAAATTTTCAAGCGATGCTTGAGATCATTACCTTCTTGCAAAATCTAATCTATACTATTTTCACCAAAAAGCTCACAGGTAGAAGGCAAGAGACCTCTCTTATAGATACTATACATAAAAAGAGAATCCAGATTTCTTTTAAAATATACTAACTTACCAAATCTTAAAAAGAAAAACAACCTTAAACATGAATGTTCTGTAAATGTTTGACTGTATAGAATATTTTTAGCCTTTCAAAAAACTCCAAACCTTTCTATTTGACTGGAAAAATTGAAAAGTACTCTCTTCAGTAAAAATAACTTATTTCTAGTTAAATTTTTGATATTTTTTTACCCATTTTAACTGGTTAGCTATGTGTTTCTCAGAAAGCAAAGGTTTGAAAGTTTCTTTACAAATTTACCTTCAGATTTACCAAGATGTCACCTAATTATTCTTGAACTAATAGTAATACTTTGTTTTTTAAGTTTTTGTTGAATTTCAGTACTGGTAATTCATAATTTCAATTTTATGATTCTTCTTTTCTTCATTCTGTAATTTTGCAGTTTGTATTTCATTACGAAATGGTCCCAAAAGTTCATCTTCCATTTTTAATCCATGTATAATCAAAATTTCTAATGATTTCATGTCCATACTTTCACGATCAATATATAATCGGCGTCCTTATAATCGGGATTGAAGTAGTTGTGACATTTCACCTCCAGTAACAATAGACGAAACATCTATAAAACGAGAATTCTTCTTTATTGATCGTTGGGTAATAAATGATTGGTTTGTAGCAGATTCAACAACTAATAATAGGAAAAATAATTAGAATGAATAAGAATATGCTAAATACAATTAACCATACATTTTATTTTTAAAAAATTAATAAATTATTACCAATAGGATGTAAAGGTACACCATCTTCTTGAGTATTTATTAATTCAGCTTTTATTTTATTGGATAAATCCACCTTAATAATTGAATATTTAGTTATTTTACAAGTATTTAATGTTATAAATAGCATAAGCTAGCTTAGATATAAACCTTAAAACCGGGACAGAATTTAAAGTCTTCCTGTACTTCCTGACTTTTCTTGACTTCATATTCATGAAACCCTTTATCGTCGTCTGAA